TCAGGTAACATCACCACAGTAGCCCTAGCAAGAGTTGTTATGCTCTCGGGCTTCTGTGAGGGTGTAGAACTTGGTGATTCTTCTAGAACTGGCACCTGTTGGTTGATGGGTTCAGGGTTGGTCTTAGGTTCTAGAGCCTCTTTTTGAACATTAATCTCCCTCATTTGATCTTGAGATTGGAGGGAGCGTTTAAGTTCAACAGCCATACAGAGATCGTTGACTAATTTATCGGCTTTAGACTCAGCTTCTAGTCTCTCTCTTTGAAAGTCGTCCAGCATTTTCTGCATCATTTCTGATCCTTCGCATAATCTCCTCTCAAACTCCTTTTCCTTCCAGACTGACTCAAGAAGTTTTGCTCTTTCTCGAATTGCCACCTTGTTTGCTTCAATTTGCTCTTCAGCAAACAAAGTGTAGTCACGGGAGTAAGGTGGTTCGTACCAAGAGCCTTCAGTGAATAAAAGTTCGTCGAAATAGAAGATTTTCTGTTCTAATCTTATTATTTCCTCGACGAGGGGATCAGGTTGGTTGTCAGACATAGGCCCATTGTGGTCAAAGTCATCTTGGTCTCCATGGGGTTCATAATAATTATCCCCATTAATGTCTTGGTATGGAGAATATCCAAAGTTCCTAGACGGGGTATCATATGTTGGTTCCTCATGGTATGGATAGTAGTCAGACCCATTATCGACTTGGTAGTCATCATCATATGGGTTCTGATGTGGGTGGTAAGGTGAATGGGTTTGGTACGGAGGGCGGTTGGGTGAATGGTAGAAAGAAGGCGGACCGTAATAACCACTGGGGTTATCCATAATAATTATTACGGGTGGTTGGTGAAATTAAACTAATGCCGTGCCACTCCCCAACAACGGCGCCATTTGACAGTTGTAGTTTTTCGGGTAGTAAACCTTCCCAGTAAAGGGTTAGTTTTCTCTCCGAGTATCGTATCTCTCGAGGAGTGGACGAAGGGAATTAGTTTAATTACTCTAATTAGGCGAAGATTAGGATTGGTTTATGAAAGTCTTCTCGAAACGATTATAAAAAGAGTAGAGTAAAAATAATAAATTAATTTTACATAGTATAAGTGTAGATCTGGACCTAGGGTCAGGACATCAGTTGGATCTATTTTATCATATTAAATTAACAGTTGGAATAATAATATTTCTATTACTACTCATCCATTTCTAGATTTGTACTTAATCCGTTGTACTTGAATATCATAGCCTTTTGGCATACAATATTTTCTCAATAAATAGCTAATTAAATCTTTCGATAATAATTAACTAAATAAGGCAAGAACAATAGATTAATCATTCCAACATTAATTTAACATAAAAAAAATAAAAAACCAAACTAGTCCGGACCCAGAGATCCGGACCCTAACTCATACTATGCAAACATGAATTAAAACAACATTTTATTAAATAAAGAAAACTTACAACCTCCGTAAAGCGGAACGGAACAAATCTGGAGTCAAAACCTCCGAAAATACTTCAAACTAACTACTAAAACTAATATACAAAGTATTTGAATCAATTGAGAGAGGGGAACCTGAAATTGGGTTGAGAATGGATGGTAAAAATGAGAAGAATCGTGCTGTATTTATAGGAACGAATCCAAGGTGTCCAAGTCCAAGCGTCCAAGTCCAAGCGTCTAGATCTGGACGCCTGAGCTGTCCCAGCCAACCAGATTTTGCCACGTGTCATTCTTGGGCTGCAATCCAGCCAAAGCGTCCAACTCCCAAGCGTCCAAGTTGGATGCCTGGAGGCCTTGGTCCGTTGGGCTTCGCGGCTGTTTCGTGATTTTGGCCCAATTTCGCTCCGTTTTGGCCCTGAACACTTTTTTTGACCTCCCGGAATCTCGTTCAAGCCCGGATCTTGATCCTTTGATGATTTATTCCCATTTTCTCAAATACTTGAACAAAAATGGATGATTTATGATGATTTCATGTTGAATCCCATTTTATGACTCTTAGAACGAAAATGAGAGTTTTATCCATTAAAACCACATTTTATGAGATGATTAAATACTATTTACGTGCAATAACGTTTAGAATGTGATGTAAATGATAAGAATGAAACGGACTTATCACCGGACACCTAGCAAAACAACCGGATTTTCTCCATTCATGGTTGTTTACGGCTCAAACCCCCTTTCCCCACTTGAACTTGATCCTATTATGATAAAGCAGAAATACTGTGCGGAAGCCGAGGAACGAGCTAAAGAGATTCAAGACCTTCATGCCAAGGTACGAGAGAAGATTGAAGCCACCAATGAAAGAGTGAGTGCGCGCATCAACAAGAGAAGCAAGTCTGCAGAATTGAAACCCGGAGACTTAGTTTCGATTCACCTCAGAAAAGAGCGTTTCCCCACGAAACACAAATCCAAGCTACTGCCCCGAGCGGACGGTCCTTTGAAGTACTAGAAAAGATCAATGACAACGCTTACAAGATCAACCTGCCCGGAGAATATGGAGTCTCCGCCACGTTCAACATTGCCGACCTCAGTCCCTACTTTGAGCCAGAAGATGTTCCGAGTTTGAGGTCAAACTCTTTTGAAGAAGGGGAGGATGATATACCCCGGGATGCACCTTCACACATGCCACTAGTATTAAAAGAAATCAAGTGTTTAATGTCTTGGTGTTATGATCCATTTTGGGTTGAACTCATTGATCCATCCCACACCAAAACCCAAACCATGACCTATCTCTCCCAAAACCCAACCTAGGCCGAAATGCCTACAAGCCCAACCCACTCCCACATATCCAAAGTATTTTTACTACTCAAATAAAGCCCTTTTCCTCTTCTTTGAAGCCCTGGCCAAAATTGAAAGGAAAAGTACAACCCAAAATAATGTGAGTGTTGTTTTATTCCCTAAATATTCCTTTCATCAAATAAGAACCTTCCCCATCCCTTCCTACTTCAAAGTCACGAAAATATGCCCCCATTTGTCCTCAAAATCAGTCCCCATCCA